CATATATATAAAATAATTAAAAATTATGATACATTTTTTTTTAATTTTGTTACAAAATAATTACTTATTTCTTTACAATTAACACCTTATTTAAATACATATTTACTTATATTTAAATAAAATTTTATTTAATTGAATTATTTTTAAATGCATAATATCAAACTTATTTAATTTGTACCATGATGCCTTAAATATAATTTTCAGTAGGATTCAACTATTACCAACTAAAAAAATAATTCATCTACTTATAATTATATATTCATACTACTACTTTCATTACATTTACATGTCTATTATTATAATGAAAACTACAATATATCGGCAATCACACTCAACCACATAATATTAATAACTATGTTTAAATAGATAATATATAAAATAAATATTTTATTTTTAAATTTAAAGTATCATATAAGAGATTCAGGATATCTCTTAATTTATAGTATAAAGAGATGTCCGAAGGTTGATCATTCGGGTGATCTACTTACGAGGATGGGTGCTGTTAGAACCAGCAACACCGGCTGTGACTTTAGCCGCATCAAGAGCCGAGGCTTCAGGCTTCTTCTTCGATAACAAGACGAAGTAGCCGATGGTGGCGGCGATTACCAACCCTCCAATTCTCGCCCTCACCGGACAAATCGGTATCTTTCTGCGCTGGTGAAGCACTTTCGTCAATTGGTGCGCTGCTTGGTCGGGTCCTACCATTTTCTCTCTCACTTTCTTCTTGTTGAGGTTTTTCTTGATCTGTCTGTCACCTTTTCTTATTTTTCTCTTTATTTTCTTGTGTGTTTCAATGGAAGTTGGTTGTCTTTTGATGTCATGTGAGGGAGAAAAAGGAATTGGAGGAAAGGGTATGGTTGTCCACCACGTGTCAGATGGGACAAAAAAATTTTATCAACTGATGACACGTTATTAACTCATCTATATTGCTCCAATGTTTTGTTGGATAGGGAGTAGAGTAATTATGAGATTGTGCAAGAAACCTTGTTTCCTTTTGACAAATATAATTTCCATGTTAAGAATGAATTCTGAGATAAATATTTTATGATTAGTTTAATAATTTTTAATTAATTATTAAATTCTCATAATCGTTTTAATTTAAGTAATTTCATCCTCCTTTCGTCAACCAAATAAAAATTTACTTATAACGTGATCAAACCTATGAAGATGAAACAACAAATATCAAAGCAAGTGCAGTGTATTTCTTCCAACTGCAACTTTCTAAAAGTTACATCTTAAACTTCCAGCAAAGGTACAAGAAAAACCCTCAAACAACCATCTCAGCTTCTTTAACACTAGAAGGAATCCCAACCTCCAATCTCATGGTTGACTTGTTTTGCTCCGGTATGGCGGCTCCAGCTTGCACACACATCTCCACTATAGCTGGGGCTTGGCCGTAAAAGTCCCGCAGTTCTCGCTGCAAGGGCGGGCCATTTACATCAGGAACATGCCATACATATCTTGGCGGAATCAAGTCATCAAGCACAGCTGACTGCCAGCCATGCTGCCCATTACGCTGCTGGTGCTTGTGCGCCCCACAGTTTTGTGCTTTGTGCCCTGTAGGACCAACATGTACCTCAGGACAATATCCACAAACTCTCACTCTGTACATTCTCATCAACTTCTTTGCTCCTCTCCTCATCTGCTCCCACGCTTTGAGTGTTTCCTCAGCAAGTAAAGCTGTTTCCTCATCATTACTAGGAGAAACTATCTCTGCATCAGGTACCTCTGTTAGTAATGGTTTTGGAGGAGCTTCTGGGGTGGGGTCTGGTAGTTCACTTTCGTCTGCATCGATAAATTCCCTTTTACCAATGCGGATGATTGGCTTTCTTCTCCTTTTCGTGGGGAATTCAGGAATATCAACACCAGCTTGGATGCATAGTTCAACTAATGCTGGAACTCGAGGAATTGAAAATCTTTTCTTCATGACGAATACGATTACCAAGTCGATCATAAAGGTGGTAGGCCTCAACTGGCACAAATATGTCTTCAATAGTTGCATTTGTCCATTCATGCAGGCCCTTCCTGATGGATGCACCTTGTCCTCTACATGACTTGAACGGATGTCCAACAGGTCCCACATGGATTTCATTGCACCACCTGTATAAGAATTGTCAGAGAATGAAACTCACAGCTCATTGTTTGAGGTTAGGAGAGTTCTTAAACTCCTGTAAACTGTGATTTACAAGTTACAGACTTGTCTGATAAGTTATATACATAGCGGCCAAAGCTAACATAGTCAGCGATCGCTTGAATGTATGTGAAAATGTCACCAAAGTTCTCTTCTATGTTTTTGGAAAACACTGGACTGACTATTTAATTCAATAGTAAAAATGACTACATAACTTATGAGGCTAAATGCAAATAAAGATACGACTTTGATATTGTGTTTCGACTGCATTGGAGAAAAATCATTCCCTCAAAGCAGTATCAACTATGCCAAAGAAAGAATCAGATGAAGAAAAGAAAATTACCCGCAAGCATGAACTCGTACCACTTTCAAAAGTTGCTTGAGATTGTTAATCAATGTAATTCTCGTGTTGAATACATCATAGGCAATTGGTACAAGGCTTTTTACAAGCAAACCATTCTTTGGAGCTTGGACTCGACTCTTTGGTTGGCTTTTCCTCTTCTTGAGCCTCTCCCTTGCAGCTCGTCTCAGCTCCACAATGGGTACTGGAAACAGCTTCTTTTCTTTCTTTGAATAATGCCGAGGAAAATCTGCATTTTGAGGATGATCGTTCCTAATAACCCATGAGTATGGTTGATGCAATTTTCTTGATAATCTAGACTTGGAATGAATTTTATGTTTAATGCTACTCAGCTGCAAACATACAATTAAAAGATATCAAAACCTAAAATAAAAATGTTTCAACGATAGTTGCAATAATTTCCAGAACATAACCAATCCTCTTCACCCATGAATAAAACCTATCACCAGACAAGGTCCTGGAAAACTTATTTCATGTATCATATCACTGGATATGAAATCAAGCAAGATGAAACCAAGAGAAATGGAGAAATTGTCCCGTCTGTCTATAGCATAGGTACATCCAGATTCAACATAAACAAGCCTATAGTTCTAATCTGTTCAAGTGACAATGGTAAAACAGGATAAAAGTGCGGGTCAAAAGGTCAAAATTCTCATATCAAAGACTGGAAGCATTATCAATGAGTAGACCATTGTGATGGACTAAGAATCAAGCAAAAAGACTTGAATATAATGGCCTCCAGCTCTTGTTTTAACAATAATGCTAGTGTTCAACAATTGAAGCAAGCAAAGGGTACAAGGATTTGGAAGACAGTCCTAATGACATTAACAAAAGCGCATAGAGGACATACTTCAATTAACCAGACCTCGTGCACATTATTTTTGTACACTAGAAGAAGCTAGTTAATAACATAAACAATTAAAGGGAGGAGTCAAGAATTTAAAGAAAAATGTTGCATCAATTGATGTCAAATCATAAATTAGTAACTGACTTAATTGAAACTAAACTCAGAATGCTCGAATAAACTATAATGCACGGAGCAACCAAGCTCCTAACAAAGACAGAATTCAGCACTATGCAGACAATAATCGACCTACTTGTTGTCCCATACCAGGTAACGGTTGGAGCTTGAATAGTATGCCTATGGCATCTAAAATTAGGTGGATCATGATGCCGCATACCTCCAAGGAATCAAGGAAACTGAGACTGAGAATGGAATTGAGCTTCAAACATTCAGATCTCATCTGATGTGAAACTATGTCAAGCCTATGTTTGGAAGGCAAAGCCTTTGCTTTACCATGCAACAGAGTCAGAGCGCCAAAAGCATAGTTCCCAGAACCACAATCTCTCCCTGAGAGTTTAACCACAAATTAAATCTAAATGAAGGATAATTGAACACAAACAAGACAATCTAAAGATATTCTAGCACGTACAGCAACAATAATAACGGACAATCTAGTAAATACTCCAGCTACTTGTAGGAAGGTATCTATTGATAATGTATTATTTCCTTTTATCATATAACCAAGACACATGACAGCTGAAAATTCCCACGATCCAATTTAGGGTTTTGTAATAATTTTCTCCTACCTTTTTGTTTCCCTGTTAATTCCTTGTTTGCCATATTAACATTATCACATATTGATTTCAGTTGTTATCCGAAACATGCAATCCACTCAATACAATTATCACCGATATACATAGATATATGCATGTATGTATACATATATATATATATATATATATATATGTCTCAACATAAAATAATCCACTCTACTGCGTCATCTAGGATTTACATTATTTTCTCCTCCTTTCCTTCTTTCTCGAAAATTGTAAACTTCCAAATGCAAAACTTTCTTCTTAATTAGAATTCCACCGGTTTGCAACCTAATCACATTCTCACTAAAAATTACCCCATTTTTCCCATCTATTTCGAAACTAAAAAAATTCAATTTGATAGTTTCCTTGCATTCATCACTAAATTAAGTTATGCCATACACATGCCGCTCTAATTTGTTCTGTCCTGTGACTCTTGTCACAAAATTCCAGCTGCTTGGCACTGCAGAGACTTTATCTGAAAATTTTCTGGGAAGAAAATCACACGCTTGATGTAATTCAAACACTCAGTCCCTTAACAGACCAAGACTAATTACCAACGCAGTTTTATCAAGTATAAATAGCAGTTGAGAAAGACAAGGAGAACTTACAGCAGCTAGTTGAAGAGAACATCGACATTTTCCCTGAAGAATTTGGCTGTCGAGATATAGGCAAATTACAGTCCTCTCATAGTGAGGGTCAGCAAAGACAATGAGGGATGTCGACGAAGCCAACGATATTTTCCTCTTTATTTATTTATTTTTCTTTTGATTTTTTTAATTTATATAATTGGGCCTTAGGTTGCACGGCTAACATAGAGGTGAAGACTCATTCGGTTAAGCCCGTCCTTATCTGGAACCATTGAATTACCGAATTGCCCCTCGATTTCGCTCTCTAGTATCCAAGACAATTTTAGAGACGGACATCTAACACGTATGGGCTGGGCATGGTCATATCTATATTCGTTCTGAATAAAATTTTAAATTTATATATTTTTTACTCAAAATGAGTAAAGATTATTTATTTACTAAATGTTTTAATTTTAAAAATTTTAATAAAATATTTAAATAATTAATTAAAATTTAATTAATAATTAACTAAAACAAAATATAATTTTAAATAATGTATTTAATAATAATATAAAATAATATTATATATTAAGCAACAACATCCCATGTTTTTCAAATCTCAGTGCCCACGTAGCTGCTTCCATTGCTTTCCATAGTCATGTCATAAAGGAGTTAAAGCTGCTTCCATTGTCTTCCTTTGCATTGTGAAACTCTATGGGTTCCCAATAACATTTCAATAAATCAGTTTTAACTTTAAAAGAATTATTAAATCCATCAATTTCTTCCTCCATTTATACGAATAAAAACGAGTGAAATAAAAATCACAACAATCTATTTTGTGTTACTGAAATTTATAAAAATAATATATTAAAAAGATCATGATGATACTATATTACAATAAAAATTTGAATTGCTCGATTGATTTTAGAGAAGAACATTGGGCAATAGAGACAACTTATTTATGAAAAATCATGGAAATTTGTGAGGAGGGTCGGAGCCTTACTAAACTTTAAAAAGGATGAAGAGTGAAAGATGAAAGAATAAAAAGGGAAAGCAAGAGGAAATAATGGGAACTTAACTGCCCAAGCTAATTTATTTTTAAAGAAGTTTATATGTAAATGATTCATGTTGCTAAAGTAAAACGAGTATTTAAAGTTATGGTGGAAGAACTCCACAAGTGAGAGAATTATTATATAATTTCGCGTAAATCCTATATGTTACCTATAACATTTATACGTATATTAAAACAAATAACCTCATTATTTACATGTTTAATATTTGATAGTATTAATTTATTTTTTTTGTTTAAATAGAGAGTGAGTGATTTGTTATGATTTTTTTAAAAATTAATTATTAATTTAAACAAAAATAATGTAGTACAATTTGAACATTTTTAAAAATTAATATTTAAATAAGATATTTTAAGAATATAAAAAAGTCATATTTTTTAATTTATAATAAGTAACATGTTTCATATTTAATTTTTTTTTAATGTATTATAATAAATAAAAACTATTATTTTATAACATATATTGAAATATTAATTCATGCACTGAAGATTATGATTGCAACATTTATAAAATATTATTAATTTTTATTTTAAATTAATTATGACTTTAATTTATGTTATTTTATGCTTAATATATACTTACTTTTACGAATAAAATAACATATAATTTTGTTGAGAAATCTTCTATTTTTTTAATTATTCAAAAGTTTATATAAAATTATTAATTTTTAAATAATATTAGAGATTTAAATGATAAATTATCACACAAATATGTTAATTATTTTTATAATCTCAATTATATTACGTAATGTAAAAATATAATAAATTATACTTTTAACTAAATAAAATATAAAAAAATATAATTATTTAAAGTTATGAATTAAATATTTATTTCACTCTCTTATTCTCAATCAAACTACACATTATAATGAAATAATAACTCGTAATTTTGATTATAAATTAAACTACATTTTATACATACGCTATTGTCATATTCTACTCTTAACAATTATTATAACATTATGAAGTTGATTTTTCTTTTTAAATTTTGATTTTTTTTGAATTTGTTTAAATGCCTGTAAATATGTAATATTTATATTTACATTTTCCTACAAAAACTTATAATTTGTTTTCAAAAGCAGTATGAATTTTCAAATGTCACACTCTGCATCTTTATAATTTGTGTCCGAATTTTCTGGCCAACCGACTTAATCGGTTAAAAAAATTTCAAGTGCCGACTCATTGGACCGGGTCGAACCCAACCGACTTGAACGATTAAAAAATTTCGAATCCGGTCGAGTCATAACACCGAATTTCTCCCTTATTTCTTTGCGCCTCTCCTCCGCCCCCTGTCTCTATATATGTACTTCCTTCACCAGCATCTCGCAACGCATCACTCGGAAACTCAACTTTATTTTTGTTAAACAAATATTAATCGCAAAAATCTCCAATCTGATTTCGAGGCCTTGTTTGTTGTCCCAGGCCTCTTATCTAGGTTGTCTTCAAAACCCTAGCTGTTTCTCGGTCTCCGTTCGTCTCCATCTTTAGACATTCCTCCATTCCATCCGTAGAAAATTTGTGTCAGATCTCAAGGCTTACGCCTAAGAATGGGTTCCAAAAAGAGCGAGAACCCTCACTCGGGGGATGGTGCCAGCCCTGGGTTCGTCCCCCCTTTCTCTGACTCTTTGCGTGTATCTTATCAGTTGGCTTTACCAGCGACTAATATCTTGGGTTTTTGTTGCGTGGTTTGTTCTTTAATTGCAGGAAAATCTTTATCGGTGGCTTAGCTAAGGATACGACCTTAGGTGAGTGCTTAGAGTTGCTACTGCTTATTGTTAGTTTATGTGTTTTTAGCCCCTTTTTGGAAGACAATTAATGATTATTCTTTGTTCATTTATTATTGGTTATTGTGTTTAGATACATTCATCAGGCACTTTGAGAAGTATGGGGAGATTACAGATTCTGTGATAATGAAGGATCGGTACTCGGGTCGTCCAAGGGGATTTGGCTTCATAACCTTTGCGGATCCTTCTGTTGTCGACAGGGTTATTCAAGAAACCCACGTCATCAATGGCAAAGAAGTGAGCTTTTTTTTTGCCCGCGTTTATATCTCTCTACGTGTGTATAGGTTTTTTGGTTAAAACGTTGGAGGGTAAGATACGATTATGATTGATAACACAGTTTTTGGAACTCAGTTTATTCACTTAATTTTCATTTGGGTAGAAAATTGTTAGTATTGCAGCTGAGTTAACGTATTGCAACTAATTGAATACATGATAATAGTTCTTCCTGCTTAAATGAATTGAATTACCTGTGACATTTTTTTTCAGTATCTTTTTTGTATTTTTTTTTTTGCCAATGGAAACCTACTTTTATCTTTTGGTTACATATTTCTTAAATTTTTTTAGAAAATAGCTCCTTCTTGATGAAAAAGTTCATTTATCGATTTTCAATGTAATAATTTCATTGTAATGAATACATAACCCAATTGCTATGGTTATGTTGAATTGTAATTGTAATTCTGGGATTAAATTTTGGAGCAGGTTGAGATCAAGAGAACTATTCCAAAAGGTTCTGCACAAACCCATGACTTCAAAACTAAGAAAATTTTTGTTGGTGGGATTCCAACATCAATGACTGAAGGTTCGTTGGTTGGTCTTTGATTTTGAATGTTCTAGTACTACAAACTTCACTCTTGCCTTTACTCACCTATTGACTACTGTGGCAAATTTCTTCTTGAACTTCCAGATGAATTCAAGACCTTTTTCTTGAAGTATGGAAAGGTGATGGAACATGAGATTATTCGTGATCATACGACCAAGCGCTCTCGGGGTTTTGGATTTATTGTTTTTGACAGTGAAAATGTTGTAGATATTCTGCTGGCTAATGGGAATATGATTGATATGGCGGGTACTCAGTGAGTCTTGTGCAATGCTGCTTGACAACTGGATCGATGCAAATGATCTTTATGATTACGAGCCAAGTCAATGTTTCCTGTCTATATGTTATAACAAGGGAAATAACAGGAAGTTTTATTTATTTAATTTTAACTCGTCATATGGGCTTTATGGAATTTTGAAATTCAGTTTGTTTAAGTTTATTACAAATCTTAATTGTTTTTCTTGGGGGAGGTTGTGAAAGTGATTTTGCTGGAAGAAGAACCTAGGTTAACTCAGTTCTTTTTGTAGGTTGAAATCAAGAAGGCCGAACCAAAGAAAAACTCAAACCCTGCACCTGGTCCTGCATTTGGTAGTGAGTCTAGGGCTCGCCAATACCATGATGGTTTTGGTGGATTTGGTGATTTTAATGGTTATGGTAGTGGTGAGTTTGGCCCCTCTTCTTATAGATCTCTGGGGGCTTTTGGAGGTAGGTTTGGTGATTATGGTGGGTTTGGTGCTAGTGGTGCTGATTTTGGCACTGGTAGTTATGGAGGTTTTGGTGGCAGTGGCTTTGCTGGTTATCGAGGAGATTCTGCATTTGGCTATTCTAGTCGCTTTGGTTCCTATGGTGGTGGATTTGGTGGAAGTGGCTTGGGTGCAGCATATGGACGTGGCGGAGGAGGATATGGAAGTTATAGTGGTTCGGGCCCTTCAGGTAGTTATGATTCAGGCTCTGGTGCTAGTTTTGGTGGATCTGGAGGAGGGTTGTATGGTAGTAGGACTGGATATGGTGGCAGTAGCCGTTATCATCCCTATGCAAGGTAGATATGTGCTTAACATACCCATAGAAGTTGCATGCAGGTTTTTCCAATTTTCAGAGTATTCCATCTCCAGTTGAGTAAACATAAAGCATTTATTGCAAGTTCGCACTATCTAGAAGATCAGACCAACAGTTAGTGTTTCCTTGTTCAGTCTACGGCTTACACAACTGGAGTTAGATCAGCAGCAATCTAGAGCTTTCTATCAGAGATCAACCACAGAACTCTAAATTAGGCATCTACAGTGTGGTTTATGTTTACAGTTGCCATTTTATTGTAGCTTTGACTATTTTTCTTTTTTCTTTGAAATAGCAATTAGATAGATTGTTTTGGACCTGTAACATTTAGGGAAAATTAATATAGTGTCCTTAGTTATGCATGGAATGAGAGTGTGAGGGGATATTAAGTTTTAGCATTCTACAGTTGCACTTGTGTGAGTGTCTTGTGTTATTGTATAGCTATTCCCGTGATCAGATTGACTTAATAGTTTTCGACAGTGACACAAGTATATGGTTTGTCTTCTTTTTGGTATGTGAATGTTGTTTTGCCCTGGTTGGCGTTGATAGCTAGTGCATTAGCAAATTTTGTAGACAGTTTGGTGGCATGGTCAGCTGCTTTGACCGTAAGTTGGTTTTGGCTTACAATCCCTTTCTTTTATTGGCTTCATCTTCAGTCTGAATTATACGTTGTGACAGGACTTGAGATAATGATTGTAAGCATCACTATGGTTGACTGAATTTATGACAATAATTTTTTGATTCACTGTATAGATTACAACAGCTTTGATTTTTCAGAAATCTTGCTCGACCATAATTGGCTGAAATTACAAGTATTGATTGTCGTACATGGATTTGTAGGATTTTGATGAGTTTTGCTTTTGAGATATGTATAGGTGTTGAATGTTGGCTAATTCGTGATGATGCAAGATATAGTTTTTATAGGGAAGTATCTCATTGCATCGGTTATTTTTTGATAATTGCTTTGTGGCAAGGATGTTGAATCCTGTAATTAGGCTATCAAGTATGAGGTAGAGGCAGAGAGCCCTAAAATTTATTTTCACCAGAGTGAAAATATGGTTGAATTGTAAACCATAAGAAATAATGTTGATAGCCTATTTTTGTTGAAGAAATTGCATTCTATATCTCTGTTTATGGTGTGATTTTTCATTTTGTTGGTCAAAGATGGGAAGAGAAATCATATGCTTGTTTGGGTGTTGCAAAGCAAATTTAAGCAGCCTCCACATATTTATTTATTGATAGAAAAAATTATGAGGTGGGAGATATTTGCAACTTTGTGTCTTGATTTATATAAAAGCTTGTGAGAAATCTGCAATTCTTAATTGTGAAGACAGATTCCAAACATTGATCGTACAGGGGGTGGTCAGGACTACTACTTCAAAGCGTTTGTGGGATTGGATAGGACATGATGAATCAATTTTTATTAGTGTTTGGAAAATTGTTCATTTGACGTTTATAAGAAATGCTAGTTGTTTCATTTTAATATTTGTGTTTGGTAAAATGCAAATTAATTTGCATATTGGATTTTTAAAAATAATTTTGGAAAATTATGAGCATTATTTTTTAAATCTAATAAATTTATGTTAATTATTATGTCAAAATTAACAAATATACACATTACTAATGTAATCCATTTGAAAATAAATGGTTTTACTATTTATTTTTAGGTAATAATTTATCTACTTAAAATATTTAAGTTATTAGAGTAGATGATTGCTTGTCTTGTCTTCGTTCCAAACCAAACTCCTGGATGGTAATTTGCTACGCTTCATTAATGTGGGGTGACATTAATGCAACACACTAAGTATAAACTTACACAACGATGGTATAAAATAATACTTGGATTTGACAAATTCATCACGAATTTAACGACTACAACTGCAAATAGACTTACAAGTGGTGTGATGATTTGGGCCGAATCTGATTGTTCATGTCACTACTCTACTTGATCGCTAGGCCGAAACTCTGCGGATCTATTTCTCAAATCCTTATCAAGCCCAACACCTGCTTTCCTGCTTTCTCTTCGTCCCATAGCAAGCTAATTAAGAAGCAGCAGCAAGAAGACGATATTTAGGCGCCGATCTTGTGTGTTTCGCTCCCACAAAATCCATCCTCGTAATCGCGCTGTAGTTTTATTTTCTTTCACGAGTTCTACCAGAGGATCTCCAGTATCGACTGCAATTCCCACTGCAGCTTGCGGATTCTTCACCACTTGTCAGTTTTATCGCTTTTCTTACACTACGATGGTCTGCTATTCTTCGCAATTTTATCTACTTTTTTGTTATTATCGGTTGGTTTGATGAATACCAAACCTATAAACAAACTGCGCGCTTCATATTCGTCAAAATGTTCAAACGAGTTTTCAACATAGGTAGCTTTTAATCATTTTCCTTGCGCGTAATTTATCTGTGAAGCTATAACTTGCGGAATGGATTGTTCACATCTTACACTGAAAGTAATATGTTAAATTGAGCGCTTGAACAAAATCAAGTATGTTCTTGGATTGGGTCTAGTTTTGGGGGGGATAGTTTCGTTGAAATATGACTTTGAAGATACCGGCTGAGGTTGCAGTTTCTGTGCAAGTTGTTTCTTAGGCAACTTCAATAAGAGTTTGGTTGAAAAAGAAATCATCCTCTACAGTGTATTCTTTTTGATTGTCTATGACTTGGTTTGCTCTGAGTACTTATATGGACTGAAAGTGAGCTTCTTTTCCTAATAGTGGATAGACTAACTAGAAAGTTTGTGTTCAAGGTTTCTAAAAACTTTTCTGTTCAACGGTCAAAACTACTACCCTGATTGTTTCGAGTTCTGCTACACAAATTGGATAGTTATGAAATCTTAAAGAATCCGATATAAATTGCAATGTGTTGTTTTAATTCCATACCGGATTTCATATGAGCTCAAACTTTATCAATTCTAACAAAATTTGCATTTTCTCTAGTTTAAAATAAATAGGTTTGCAAATGGATATTATACAAAATCTAGATTTTGTTCAAAAATTTGGCTAATTTATTATCTGTTTAAAAGGTTGAGGTTTGCCTTTGTTATCTTTTTAGTATTTCTGTCTTTTCCACTTGACTTTCTGTTAAGAATCTAATGCATATTTGTCTACTCATGAATTTGGGCACCTTCTCATTATATTTCAAATGTTTTCTTAATCCCCTGTATGTCTCTCCGAATTTTAGGTGAAGATTAGTAAAGTACGGCCTTTACTTTCTTATTCTTCTTTAATCCTTATTTGTTGTTTAAACATATTTTGGTGCTGCTTATAGTTTCGCTGGCATGTATCGGAGCATCAAAGCACCATTCTTGCTACAGAGAGGATTGCATACAATAGATGGTCCTACTGAAACCTTGAAGAGTAAGATTGTTGAGTTGAAGAAGATGAGGAAAAGGAGGAAGCCCGAAAAGGATCAGTTCCTTGTGGAGGTTCCGGAATCGAAGTCCTTCCTTGACACAGCAACACTTCCAATGGTTCTTACTGTTGCTGGTGTTGCACTTTTTGCAAAGCTGCTTATGATGGTAAGCTGCTTCCATGATTCTAGCAGGCTCTTTAGTTTTTAATTATACCAGTCAGAAAAAAACTGTAGTTACAGAACTCAGAAGTATTGACAATCTGAATTTGGTACCATGTTTTTTATATTTAGGTTTATGTGAAATCTGCTGATCTAATTTTTAGCATGTCCTCCATGAACGCTACCGGTCTTTTTGATGCCATATAGAAGGTTGCCATATTGTATATTAATTTGCTTCTGATACACGCCACTCCAAGAACAAAAAAGTGAAAAAAAGTTTTTCTTGCAAACGTGATAACCCGTACAAGTATTTATTCCATCAAATAACTAATCATGTGAGCTGGCAGCATGATGATTCCAAATCCCAAGAAATGATTGAACGCAAAATAAAAAATGCTCCTGCTGGTCAAGGCACAGTGAGAATGCTCACTCGTGAGGAGTGGGAGGAATTTCGAGAAGTAAGGCCAAGGACTCCTTTTGAATCTAAGCTTGCTCGTCCAAATGCACGAATAAGAACTGGAGAACCAGTGCGGATGGTGAGGCACACAGTAATTCTAACTTTCTTTTTTGACAATAGATGTATGTTTTTGCTATTGATTGTTGCTGTGTTGATATTTTCATAGAGGAAACATAAACACATTTATAACACTGCAGGTCCTGCAGAAACTCAATATCTTCATTGCATAGGATTGAAATATAAATTTATCATCATAAATGGAGTTGTCCGTGAAGCCTTTTGCAATTGACATATATATGAAGCTGCAGAATCATTTTGATTACAAAAAGAAGATCAATCAGTTATGCATCTATATAACATCCATATTACAAACAGTATTGATATTAAAGTTTGCATCCTGTCAGTGCATTCTTTTAGCACTAATTGTCACAAATCTTCATTATGGGTGCGGATACAACTTCAAGATTATACACAAAAAATTTGGAGCTTCAGAACATTTTGTGTTCTTGTATTCCTAAGGTCATCTGGAGTGGCAGAATGTGAAGTCATGTAATTAGGTAGTGAAGAGTTTTGTGAATGGAGATTTTTGTGAAGGAATTCTCCCTTGTTTTCTCTTATTAATTTCGGGCACCAACGGGTGCCATTTATAGAAGAAAAAGGAGACATCTTTTCAGGAATGTGAGGAAGGTGTGATAACAGATTTCTGTTGTTATCATGCCTCCTCGCCTTCTAAAAGAATGACACCTCACCTACTAGGAATATTCCAGTCTGAATCTAATTTATTATAGCATTTTCTACACTCTCCCTCAATCTAGTTTACGTATATATATTGAGTAAACTTAGATTAGATACAATATTTTCAAATATCTGTTTTGGTAATACCTTTATTAGGATGTAAGCAACTTGTTGATTTGAAGGGATGTGCATAAGAGCTATGGTTCCATCTTCAATCTTTTCTTTGATGAAATGTCGATCTATCTCAACATATTTAGTCCTGTCATGGTGTACTGGATTTTTGGCCATGCTGATTGTTGATTAATTGTTACACTACACTTTCATAGAAGTATAATAGACGCTTTTAATTCTAGTAGTATTCTTCTCAACCACATCCCTTTACAAATTTCATGTGCAAGTGCTCGAAATTCAGATTTTGTGTTGCTACGGGATACTACCGACTGCTTCTTGCTGCGCCATGTAACCAGATTTCCCCACACATATGTGCAGTAGCCAGAAGTGGATCTTTTGTCAGTTATTGATCCTGCCCAATCAGCATCAGTAAAGACTTCAATATCCCTATTTATTTTCTTTTGGAAAATTAGCCCTTGACCCCATGTCCTTTTTAGGTATCTCAAAATTCTGTACACGGCCTTCATATGTATTTATGACGGTTGATTCATGAATTGACTTACTGTACTGAATGTCTGGTCTTGTGTGTGCTAGATATATTAGTTTCCTGACCAGTATTTGATATCTCTCTTTGTCAACAGTCTTTTCACATTCTGTAGATCCCAGTTTCATTGTTGGATTCATAGGTGTATCTGCAGGTTTACAACTAAGTATACCTATTTCCTTCAGAAGATCCAGAACATATTTCCGTTGTGATACGAAAATTCCTTTATTAGATTGGACAATTTTCATACCTAGGAAGTACTTGAAAATTCCAAGATTTTTAATTTCGAATTTCTTGGTTAGAAACTCTTTAAGTCTTCAAATTTCCTCAATATGATCTCTTGTGAGGATAGTATCATCTACATACATAATTAGAATTGATCTCTTACCTGAGATACAATGTTTGACAAATAAAATGCGATCTAATTGACATTGCTCATTCCCAATATGTTTTACAACCCTTGTGAATCTGTCAAACCAAGCTCTTGGGGATTGCTTGAGTCCATATAGCGATTTCTTGAGTTTGCAAACTTTGTAAGATTGATCTTCTACATCTAAACCTGGTGGGATATCCATGTATAATTCTTCTTCTAGATCATCATTTAGAAATGCATTTTTTACATCCAGCGGACAAAGGGGCCAATCAAAATTTGATGCAAGCGAGAGTAGTACCCGTATTGTGTTGTGCTTGGCGACTGGAGCAAAGGTCTCCTGATAGTTTATACCATAGGACTGAGTAAAACCCTTGGCCACAAGGCGTG